ACCAAAACAAGAAAGGGGAGCGGAGACCGACCCGGATTGTACGAAAACAGTATGAAATGGAACTCGGTCGCCAACGACAAAATATAGGACATCTGGCCGGACCTGACTTCAAAACAAGGGGAGCAGAGGGCCAGGCCCGCCACCTGGCGCCTCAGGCGCCGTGAGCGCCGGCGGCGAATTCCACCCGATCGCTGCGTGAAAGGGTGCGACTGCCATGGCCGGAGGGGAACCGAACTTTGTCAGCAAATCACGAACTTTCGAGGGCGGAGCCGAGTGCAGCTTCTGAGAATGGAGGACGGAGATTGGACAAGGTGATGCTGCCCGGCCCTCTGAAGTATGACGTCATCAGAAGTATAAGTTGATGAAACGGAACTGAAAAGCTCTCTCGGACGACGCATTCCGGGCCTCTCGCTCTCTCGGACGACGCATCGCGCGCCGGTGGCACTCTCTCGGCCCACGTCTCTCGTCTGACATCGCGGACAGCCCACGAGACACCAGCGGCTGGCATCACGGCGCCGGCGCGGCGGCGGCTCTGGCCGCCGGGCCGGGCGCCATGGACGGACACGACCATCACGTCAGCGACTCCATCTCAAGTAAGGTCACGCGGTGAACACGGGTGCGCACCTAGTCCCTAAATCCTTCGAGTAACCCCCCCCCTCGTTACTGCTATGTGAGCCACATTATATTCCCTTTTTGGTGTCGTCCGCAATATTTTAGGCCATTCAGTTTAGGTAGTTCATTTTATTTTGGGGACATTCAGTCTAGGTAGCTTAATTTAACGGTCCGATTTCGGTCAATTATTTAACTATGGGCGTGGTGCGGGACGCGTGCCGACGTGGAGTGGACCCTCGTCCGGCGCCCGTGGTGATTAAGGCGGACGGAGGGGATTATGCACCGTGGGGAGTCGGGAAAGGGACGGGCAGCCGACGCGACTTTGTACCGCACCGCGCGGCGTGTGAGTTCCAATTGCTGGACGGCCTGGTCCCAGAACGCTTCGTAAAATTTAGCATGTAAAGGAATGAAAAGCGTTGTGTCAGGGAGAATGTAAATAAATGGGACTTGTAAATATCGTAATACGAGTGTGACAAGTGATGAAGGGCAGGGACCGGAGGATAGAACATAACAGGCCATATGCCAGCCACACAGTCGGGAAAGCGGTCGTTTTCAAGGTGTCTGGCTCGTCACAGTAATTTACAACGATCAGTTTTCTTTATCTGCTTATTTTACACAGTACACAATTACCAGGATTCTACACGCACACTGGACCTAACCCAACTTGTCTCATACTGGTGGGTTCCACTGGTTGATTTCCGAGGGCTGCTAAGGCGGCTGACCTATTTCCTGCTATACCACATTCCAAGTTCCTTGACATGGCTCGTACCAGTGGATTCCTGGTACTCTTTCCTTATCAAATTATCAAACGGCTAATTACAAGGATTCTACACGCACACTGGACCTAACCGAACGCATTTCACACTGGTGGGTTCCACTGGTTGCTTCCAAGTGCTGCTGAGGCGGCTAACCTATTTCCCACGTCACCATATTCCGAAATTCCTTGACATAGCCCGTACCAGTGGATTCCTGGTACTAATTCCTTATCAAATCATTCAACAGTTCGAATACAAAGATTCTGCAAGCATACTGGACCTAACCGAACGCATTTCACACTGGTGGGTTCCACTGGTTGCTTCCAAGTGCTGCTGAGGCGGCTAACCTATTTCCTACGTCACCATATTCCAAAATTCCTTGACATAGCCCGTACCAGTGGATTCCTGGTACTAATTCCTCATCAAATCATTCAACAGTTCGAATACAAAGATTCTGCAAGCATACTGGACCTAACCGAATTCGTTTTATACTGGTGGGTTCCACTGGTTGATTTCCAAGTGCTGCTGAGGTGGCGAACCTATTTCCTACGTCACCATATTCCAAAGCTCCATGACATAGCCCGTGCCAGTGGATTCCTGGTACTATTTCCTCGTCAAATTATCCAACGGTTCGAATACAAGGACTGTGCACGCACATTGGACCTAACCGAACGCATTGTACACTGGTGGGTTCCACTGGTTGAATTCCATGTGCTGCTGAGGCGGCTAACCCATTTCCTACCTTACCATATCCCAAGTGTCCTTGACATAGCCCGTGCCAGTGGATTCCTGGTACTACCTCCTAAGCAATTCACCAATGTCCCGCACACAAGCACCACGCATATACAAAGTCGCACCTGTCCAATTGCATAATCATCTGATGAATAGGGATTGCGGAACCGGGGAGATAGATGATGCACGTCACGCCCCTGTGCGTGGAAAGTCCACCGACGCGGCTACGGGTTAGGAGGGAGATGAGAAGCGAGTGAAATGGAAGAAGACTGTACACGTAGAGGAATCGGATTTCCTGAATGAAGCTCAGCTCGGATAGACCCCACTTAAATAGTAGGCCTCGCTTGGGTAAGCCCTGGATACGTGCAATAAGTCGCGAAGTGAAGGGAAAGGATGAGAGCGAGTTGAGGATCGATTATTGAGGATGAGTGCATAGCCGACGAAGGCTAATCCGTTCGGTTGCCGGCGCGGGCCCCATAAAGCCGTGGCTATACGGAGACGATGCAGGCAGCCCGGAGGGACCTAGTGACCCCGCCCGGTTTTAAAAGATAGGTTAGGTCCGCTATCGGTCCATTGAGTGATCAGCGCAGGATGACATTCGATAAGCGACGTAGGTAGTTTCGGAGATGGTTAGGACCCCAGGCGTCCCAGCGAGGAGACGTATGCCGCCGGTTAAGTAATGTCCCGCGAAGAAACGTGTGATGCTGCAGGACGGGGGTGAACATTAAATACCAAAGCATGCGAGTCGGGTGATCGCGGTAAGTCGGTGCTGGCCACCCCGCTGTTAGTCGATTTACTCCGGCCGTGCAGCGGTCATTTCGGATAGGTCTGTGACGACAGCTTAACTACCAGCAACGGATAGATAGGGCTTCGGGCACCTATAACGCTGGTAGTCGTGGATTGTGTGAAGCCAACGGAGGCTAACCCGTTCGGTCGCCGGTGCTGTTTCAAAAGCCGTGGCTATACGGAGACGATGCAGGCAGCCCGGACGGACCTAGTTACCCAGCCCGGTTTCAAAGTTTAGATAAGCCCACCGCGGGCCGTGGTACGCTTAGTTTTCGTTTTTTTTTTTAGGCAATTTGGCATAACTGGTAGTCATGGATTCGTGTAAAGCCGACGAACGACTAATCCCTTTCGGTCGCCGGGGGCTGGCCCGAAAACCGCGGCTATACGGAGACGACGCAGGCAGCCCGGACGGACCTTAGTTACCCAGCCCCGGTCTCAAATTTCAAATAAGTCCCCCACGGAAACCGGACTACACAGTGTCCTGCGAGCCGTAGTCTCGGAACCGCTGGCCGAAGGACATTTATGTTTTTTGTGTAGGTAGTTCGACATGGCGATGGGATGGACCGCAATAAGTCACGTAAGGCGAGGGTCGAGTGCCGAAATCTGTGGTGGGTCGTATCTCTAATTGTGTAGCGTGAGCATTATGAAGCGTTTGTCTGATGTACGGAACATTGTGGTTATGAAGGGATAATGGTTAAATGAAATTGAAGGCCAATGACTCGATAACGACTTTGCGCGCGCCCTAGCACCACCGGGGGAAGTTAGGAGAAAGGGGAGGGACCGGAGATGGTCAGCTCTGGTAAATTACGAGGTATAAGTGGACGAATGGCAGGGTTATAAGGGGATGGATAAATGGACGAATGATTGATACATATATCTGGTGGGAGATGACCCTCAAGCTAGGATGGGCGCTGTTGTTTGAGAGTGGGACCTTGGGTTATGTAGAGTTGAGTTCTTATTTCATTGTGATCAAGGTTATTATGTTATCATTTATTATCATCCCATTCCCTAACCCTGGCCTATGTGTTTCCGATGATTGATCGCCCCGGAAAGAAAGAGTCAGGGTCGGAACGGGTTCACGAGGGGCCGGACAAAGAGATGGGCTTCTATGGAGCGCGCCGCCGGAGCTCTTGCTCTCTCTCATCTCACTATCGAAAGACACTGCCCGGTTAGCCCCGCAACGGCGAAACCCCGCTACACTCGTAACAATCGAATACGGGCCGGGGCCCCATACGGCCATGGGGGCCCATCGGTTGTTTGGGGGGGGGGGCCAAATGATATGATGGCCCCCCCTGATTTGCCTTTGGGGGGGGGCCATGGCCCTGATGCCCCCCCCCCCTGCGACCGCCACTGCCATGGCCGCACATCTTGGGGCGACAGCCGTCAGTTACGAAAAAAGTAAGCGTCTGTTGACTTCCATCCTGGTTTTTTTCCCTAGTCGGTGCGGCTCTGTGGCGCGCTCGTCCGCCGACCCGCCCCGACCCGCCATGAGGACTCAGGCCGGCGAACCCCCCTATCCCGTGACCGGATGAGTCTCCTGCCTTCAACAACACGAGCCGCGCCACTGTCGGCTGATGGCCGGACGTCGGATCAGCGGCCAGAATCCGACCCGGTCCGGTCACACCGACCCCGGGCCGCCCTGTGTCAGAGCGCGGACAGACAATGACACACTGACACACCGTGTCAGACTGCAGACAGACAGTGACACACCTGTGTCAGACCGCCGGCAGACACTGACACGCTGTGTCAGATCCCCCTGTGTCAGACGCAGGGAGGTAATTACACACTGTGTCAGACCGTAGACAGACACTGACATCGACCGAGACTATCCCAGCAAACGGTGATCGAATTGGAGCCCTGACACACGACACTATCCTGCAAACAGTCACGGAGTCGGAAACGCTACAGACGAAGGCACCCAACAGTGACACCGGTCGGTACATTTTCTAACAGTGTGAAAGAGTCAGCTCCTGTCAGTCCCTGCTGCGGGCTGCCGGCGCTTCAGTCTCCCCACGACCGGGCGTCGCGGGCAGTCCCGGACCAGTGCCGACTGCCAGAGGTGGAGGCCTCCCTCGGCAGCCGACAGGGCAGCCCGGTGCCGGCTGGGCGACTGACCTGGCGGCGGTGGTGAGGTCGCGCAGCTCCAGCTGACACCGCAGCTGCTGCAGCTCCAGCAGCAGCATATCCCGCTCGCCACACACCGCCTCCAGCTCCGTGCTCAGCTCGGCAATCTGACGGCGCTGCTGCGCTATCAGCGCCTCACGCCCGTCCATGGCGCACACCCTGTCCCGGCTGAAAAACACAGGGCATGTCAGGCCACGTCAGCACACGTCTGATCCAGTCAATTCAAGATGTTCCTGCAGTTGATCAAGATGCTCACTGTGTGGGTAACAGAGTCATGCTTAAATAAATTCCAAACATGCCTTTCCTGATAATGAAATAACATAGCAGGAGCTAGGTACCTACAGGCATTGAGAATGAATAACAACCAAATAAGATTACGTAGATTACCAAACACTGTTAAGTGTGGGTACTGGGTACAGTACACATCACAAGGCAGTAGCGGTGGAACACCTTCAATTTAGGGGGAGGGGGGGGGGCACTGCCTACTTTTGGTCCCATTCTTTCCATGAAACGCCCATAGGGCTAATGTTAAAATGCCAAAATCATAGGGGGCACGGTGCCCCAGTGCCCTCCCCATTCCGCCGCCTATGTTACAAAGGATTGGAAAACAGTGAGCAGCCAATAAAAAGTTGATCACCAACAACTAATAAACAGCCAATCAACAGTTGAGTAACCCAATTAGAAACATAATAAACACCAACATCATTGACACAGGAAAAAAACTGGTGACAGAAATGACTTTAAGCTAAGCTGTGTGAGTATAGGACGTATAGATCAAAAGGAGGTAGCACTTAGCAAGCCTTCTGTGATGACCATAATCATTTATTGATCCAGAACGGGAGTCATACAGACAAGCCCGTTTCGGTTTTCCACAGTGATCCTTCCAACCTTCAGGAAATTACATGCATGTTCGCTTTTTTGGCCGCTCTGCTTGCTGCAAGCTGTATCAGTATGCTCACTAAGGTCTTCTATCAAATGATGTCTATATTTTAGGAATCAAGTGAACTTGATGTAATTATGTCCCCTGCTCTGACCCAATACATACCCAGGGTCATATATTTCTGGCTACTTACCTCTTTTAAACTAGAACGAGCAGTCACGCACCCACACACCAGTGCACCAGCTCGACGAATGACGCGATGCCAGGTGATTGTAAACCAGCTACTACCTCTTAAGCTATCTACTAGCTTCCTTACGTGCATAAGTTTGAAAAGTATGAATAATTAGCGTAATTTTCGTATTTCAATAGTAATAAAATAGTACTGAAATGATAAGATAAAACATCAGACTTTATTAAAAACCCAAGTAATTATGTTGAAGACTTAACAAATGAATTTCTTAATATTTTAGTAGGAGCGCTCTGGTTGGAAATCCCATGGCAATTCTCCCAAAACAATTTTGCGTGTAAAAGATATTCAAATTGCTATGCTACAACATAGTATTGAGAAAAACTGTGATATACTTTTAGCAAGGCTTAAACCACTTGAGGTAAAATCAAGGCAATATAACCGGTAAAATTACATTGAGTGAGGCGAGGCTGGAGGTTGGAGAGGCATAAGTGCGCCGCGGAAATGAACCGGTGCCAGCGGTCGGTTGCGGTGGTGAGTTTGTGGATCGCACTACTGTCGTGTAACAGTAGGCAGGAACATAAAAGTTGTTAATGCACTAGCATGAAGCCCGTGACCCGGACCCCAAAAATGGGCTAAAGTCGTCTCATCAAGCATCAACCATTCGAACAAATAATGCCTACAAAATGTAAGCGAAGCACTTTACATACTGCGTGAGCCACCAGACGTTTGACGATAGGTGGCGCTATGACTTGAGGCTCAGCGTACATAGAGGTCGCTGAGAGGCAGAGTGGGTCATGAATCCACAGGCTAGAATAAATCGATAGTGACACAAAAGCGCATTTTTGCAGTGCATAATGTAGCTTATTATTTGTGAAAGTTTTTTCACATATCATTGAAAGCCAATAATCTCTGCTCAACTCACAGATTTACATATTTTTAATCTATTTATTTGTATATCTTTTATAAAAGCACAATTTAGTGGTAGCTTTCGATTGGAATTGTATCTTCCGCGTCACAATCACATCACTTACCCTTTTGTTTAGAAATGAAATGCGAGTCGTGTGAGTCAGTGACTCACTGTTCCTGTTCGTGTGTGCAGTGTGTGTGTGTGTCAGAGTTTTGGTGAACGTGGGGAACGGGTGTTACGTACCTATGTCTTTTCACGTTGCGTGTGCATCAAAGTTATTGGTTTGAATAAAGAGGGAGAGAGAATAAGTCCCTTTTCACTCCAGACTTTTTTTATAAATTTAGTCCGAATGGTTGAATGGGTGGATTTGAGGAATCAGAGCCCGCACTAAGCATAGCTTGTTGTGCTGACCCTGACCCCACCACCCGATCGCGCAATTCCAGTTGTATGGCAGAATTTTGTCCGAACGTTTAACGTGCCCTCACGACTGGACACGGCCCCCTCCGCTCACTCACGTTACCTGGCTTCTGTGCGGCCCCTGCCACAGACACGCACGCCATTACACGTAGGAGCTAAATGTGGCCGCCCGCACCGGGGCTTGAACCGGGCTCTCACTACCGGCTAAGCGTCGAATTCCGGCGCTTCAATCCACTCGGCCACGGAGGGGACTAGGGGGGACTTCATATTGTGGGGGAGAGGGGACTTCATATTGTGAGATAAAAAACTAAGTTGAAGTCAGAAGTTCAGCAGACATCTTAGAAACAGATCAGTAGGCGGAACTATGGTCATGAGTACCCAAATATAGGAACGTTCCCATTTTTGGGAACGGAGTTCCCAAATATGGGAACGGGCGTTCCCATTTATGAGAACGGAAGGCAATTTTTCGGCCGTTCGCCCACTAAAACTCAAAAGTGCATCACGTCTCAAAAAAGTGCACGCTGATTTAAGTATCTACTAAATCTCCATAAAGTTATCTTTAATCTGACCGTGGAACAAGGAAATTGACCGTGGAATGATATTTTTAATGATTTTTTAAAGATGACAGAATGGTGGAAATATGGGTTATACGACATTTAACATGCAATTTTAAGGAAAATGAAGCATTTTTTAGTTTGAGGTAAAGTATAATAATTTTCGCCTGGTTATGAACTTTCATACTATCGACACCAGATGCTGACATATGCAAGCGAACACGCGGACAGTCCCGAGGTAATATTGTTGACATTTGGTGTCGAGGCGGACGACCGCGTAGAACGTGCGTGATTTTACCGAACTACTGTTGTAAACTCAGTTTAAGTGGTCGAAAATTATTCAGCTGTATTTTATCAGCCCGGAAAGACATATTTTATTTGGATGCTAGCTGTTTAGCATTATTTTATAAGGAGCGTCATGAGCGTGGTTTTTGTCTTCCGTGTTTCTAAGCATGATCGTTTTGGGGGAATTTCTCTTATATAGGTCGCTCTGGGTGGCTTATTTATAATTTCTATGCTGATTTCGATCATTCCTCGTGCCCATCCTACCAGGCCTTTTGTCACTTACACTCATTAAGAAAGGAAAAACTAGACTTTCATTGGGACTAGGTGTTTTGAGGGTGTAACATATTCAGCGTTCCCATTTTTGGATACTTTCTTGTACTCGTCAACTATCGGTGATAAACAGACAGGTGCTTGACATGTCTCCACCCTCGGCACGGACGGTGGATATAGGTATGGAAGACCTTGTTGAACATCGCTGAGCGTTGTGAATTACGTAAACCTGCAGAGGGGGGCGTGCCCGCTGCGAGATCGACGGGAATAAAAGCGCAGAAGACCGGGCGAAACATGCGACGGTCTTGCCGGAAAGGTCATCTGATGATTGTTGCGTTAACAATAATTTGCGGCGTTGGACGTGATGCTTGTTAATGAAAAGAGCCCCTGAAAGGCGTCGGTGAAATCGTTCCCAATTATGGGTACGCCGTTCCCATAATAAGGAACGCTTGCAGCGCCAGTGTACGAGAGCGTTCCCAAATTTGGGCTGGCGGCCCGGATGATGGACTGCTTTAGAAATAGGGGAACGATTTGAAACTACGATGGGCCTTACAATATCAAACTCTTTCCCAACAATATTGCGACAAATATCAGGCGGTTCACGATCGTTTTCTATTTTTTGGACGTCATTTAACGGTTCTTTTTCTTGTTTTAAATAATGCCTACATGGCGTTCCCATATTTGGGTTTATCGTTCCCAAACATGGGAACGAAAATGCGTTCCCGAAAATGGGTACGCTTGACCATAGTTCCGCCTACTGAGATTGAGATTAATGTAGAAAATTTCAAACATGTCACTTTTCTCCAAAAAGTTCAATAACTGCCACCAAATAGTATGATAAAAATCAGGAGAACTTCGTATCACGTGCTACAGATCACCATAAATGTAGTTCGAACAAGTGGGATTGGTAATGGTAACCATAACGGCCTGACCTAAGCGGTAAATCAAAATGTGAATATTTTGACTTTGACTTTGAAGGATTTCAGGAAGTGAGGCCTCTTTGTGAGGCCTGTAGCTCCCATATGTAGTTCTGTTTTGAAAAGTACATGTTTTTTCAGTCCAGACTTGTGTCTATGCTGAATATCAGTGGACTTGGAATATGACCTCTTCAGTTGATAGTTAAAATGAAGTCTGAGGAGATGAGTAACCTGTAACAATCAAGCCTGACCTAATCTTACCCTCTAACCTACAACCTACCAACCTACCAACCTACTATAAGTTGGTTACATCAACCTTCAACCTACCAAACTACATACCACTCAGACCTAATCAAGGCAGGACCTAATCTTCTTATATGCCACCTAACCTAACCTAACTTGTCCTTATTAATTATAGTTCAAATTAATAAAGCCCAACAAAAACTAAAATGTACAATGTACTGAGTTTGTTGGCAGTGTGTTATTATGTCTTATCATTAAATGTAAAAAATCTTAATCATGCAAGGATTCAGGTCTCATCTCACTTTTCCAGGCTAAACTAGTGTGTTCTTTCCTGTTCTGTTTTTATTTTGCAAATTCCTGCAGTTTCTGGGTGTGCAAAAGGCTCGTATCACTTGGTTACAGGGGCCTATGATGTCTAACAGTGTACTGCACTTTCAGTCAGTTGAAATAGGTACATAAGTGTATCACCAGTAATAATAATGTTTTGTATGATCTGTATGTTTCATGTTTATTGTTCATGTCATTTTATGATCACCTACCAGTACTTGTTGAAAACTGGCCAATTCTTAGGTCATTTGTGTAACACTTCACACAGATATTAGCTGCTATTGATTGATTATTTTTAGGGTTTTTACTTCTTAGCCCAACTTAAGTAGAAGGCATGTCACCTGTCACTGTCAGTTCAGCCAGTGGTTGAATTTGAGCTGAGACCTGAACATTTCAATTTGTAGCTGATGGCTTCAATGGAAGTTTTCAATCAAAATAGAAGAATAGTAATGTTTTAATTACTATTCCAATGTTTTAAAAAACATTGTAATGTCAATGTTTTTTATGAAGCCTGTTTTTACTTTGAAAGGTGGTATGAATGTGCCTCCTCACCCTGTTGTTCATTTTCAGGGATTTCAGAAGCAGCATTTTAAACACATTTAACACAGGATATCCATAAAAGCTTACCAGATAAGCATTCTGCAATCTGCACATTTTCAAATGATTTCACATGGGGCATTCAAAGTGCTGCCCCTAATCTGTCTGCTACAAACAGGCTACTCTAAAGTATGGACTCAAGGTGAGATATAGCTGTATAATGTTTTTTTTTTAGACTTATGCTGTGCCTATTTTTTTCTTGGCAGGTAATAATGTTTTTCAAGCCAGTTTATGCTTCTATTTCCTTTTTGACATGAAAGCATTGGTGAATACATTTGTGTCCAATTTAAGCAAAATAATGTTGTTTGAATAGGTATTGTTAATGAAGATTGACTCTCAATTACTGACAGTTATCAGTTTGTTTAATCCTGTAGATCACATGTGGTGTAGAGATGGTATGTTTGATGGCCTTGTCATTACATTTGTAATTAATTATTTCCAGATGCTTCTCCAGATCCAAGTTTCAAGTCATTTTCTGTGGTCAAGCCAGTCCTGTTCCATGGCCGGACTAAAAGGGAGATATTATCTACTAGAGATTCAGTAAGATATTGTTTACCTCATTTTGTTGTCAATGCATCTTATGCCTCATCATCATATGATGCTTTATCAGGTTGATGCATAGTTGTGAACCATTTTCACCTGTAAGACATGACATATACTTGCTCTGCAGTTTATTGTATGGGCAATGAAATGTTATTTGTTTGTCAATTGTCATTGTATCGTATTCCTAGCTTCTGCTCATATGATGTTGCATGTGAGTGTAATGTGTATACTTGTGCATATTTTCAGGATGGACATGTGCCAAGCATTACAGTGGGATTACCCGTCCTCGGTACCAACTACTTGCTAGATCTCGAGTTGAATAGGTGAGTTGTCTGCGACTGTGCCATGTATGCCTGCCTTGAATGTGTTGTCCTTATTTCGCGATGAGGAGTCGACCACCCAGAGTTATACACTGTACGTGTCCACCCGCCCTGTTGACTGACAGATGTGTAAGGGAGTGTCACTGAGTGTCACTGAGTGCCGGTGAGTGCCGGTGAGTGTCGGCTGCTCCCTCACCGACCTGTGTCTCGCCGCTCCCCAGAGATGTGGTGAGCGCGGCTGCCCCGCTGCGGTACCATCGCAACGGGTCCATGGTCACCGACACCCGGGCATTAAACGTGAGTAGGGACACCGACTACTGTGCTGTGCTCCCAACCCCAGCTGGGCTTAACTCCACAAAACGATACCTCAAATCAGCCAAACTTAACGAGGCATGATAACCGTAAAAAACACGTATTTACGGACACTTTTCCCTGGCGTGGTGCAGTATTATTTTCATTGGCTTTCGACTGATTTCAGGAGGACGAGAACTGTTATTACTCAGGTCGCGTTCGTGATGTTGACGGCTCCTCTGCGGCCGTCTCTACCTGTGATGGCATTAGGTGAGCACTTGATCCTTTACTATCTGCATCAATGTCGGCGATTCGTCAGCTGAGGGAAGCCTACATAGTATGGGGGTCTGCATGTGCAGGGAAGCCGATGTGTATAGTAATTGGGACTAGTTCGAATGACGTGCTGACGGTGTGCCGGTGTGTCCGATGACGCGCTGACGGTGTACTGGTGTGTCCGATGACGCGCCGACTTGTGTGCCGGTGTGTCCGATGACGCGCCGACATGTGTGCCGGTGTGTCCGATGACGCGCTGACGGTGTGCCGGTGTGTCCGATGACGCGCTGACGGTGTGCCGGTGTGTCCGATGACGCGCTGACGATGTACCGGTGTGTCCGATGACGCGCTGACGGTGTGCCGTTGTGTCCGATGACGCGCTGACGGTGTGCCGGTGTGTCCGAGGACGCGCTGACGGTGTGATGGTGTGTCCGATGACGTGCTGACGGTGTGTCCGATGACGTGCTGACGGTGTGTCCGATGACGTGCTCACGGTGTGTCCGATGACGTGCTGACGGTGTGCCGGTGTGTCCGATGACGCGCTGACGGTGTGCCGGTGTGTCCGATGCCACGCTGACGGTGTGTTCGATGGCGCGCTGATATGTGTACTGGTGTGTCCGATGACGCGCTGACGGTGTGTCCGATGACGCGCTGACGGTGTGCCGGTGTGTCCAATGACGCGCTGACGGTGTGCCGGCGCGCAGCGGGTACCTGTTCGACGGCCGCCGGACGCTGTTCGTGTCGCCGGCCGGCGCGGACGGCCGACACTACCTGTACCGGGAGGAGGAGCTGACGCAGAACCGCACCTGCGGGGCGCCCGGGCCGCCCGAGCAGCCGGCCGGCGCGGCGCCCCACCACGCGCTCAGGGTGAGTGTCTGAGCGTCCCTCTGCCGACCGACGGACGGATAGGGTGGCGCCGTCAGCCCCTCTGGAAAGCCGCTCATTCACTTATCGATACATTCATTCGTTAATTCATTTGTTCATCCATCCTCCATCAGCCGCTCTTGAAGGCTCTCATTAATTTATTAATTAATTCATTCATGTAGATCGTTCATTGATTAGATAATTTGTCCCACTCTTGCAAGCCGCTCATTCCTTTATTCCTACCTTCATTTTTTCTGATCTTATTCGGCGTGATAACCGATGATCCGATTCTGTCTTCGCAGACCCTTGACATCCGCTGATTCTGTCTTCCCCAGACCCTTGACATCCGCCTGTTACCGTCCCGTCCCGCTGCTCTGGGCCCACTGGTGCGCCCCCCCCCCCCCCCCCCCGACTCCCTTCTTGCCGCTCTATGTCGAGGTGCGGTGGTCGCCCTGACGTCCGTCCCTCACCTTCCTTCGGTGCTGCTCTGCGCCCAGGTACGCCGGTCGGTGTCGGCGCCGGTCCCTCTCCCCCTGACTCCCTCCGTCCCGTCGCTGTGCGCCCAGGTGCGCCGGTCGGTGTCGGCGCCGGATCCTCTCCCCCTGACTCTGTCCGTGCCGCCGCTGTGCGTTCAGGTGCGCCGGTCGGTGTCGGCGCCGCGCGGCCCGTATAACGCCGACCGCCGCTCGCGGTACTTGGAGCTGGTGCTGGTCGTCGACCAGGAGGTGTTTCACGAGTACGGTGACGACCTCAAGGCTACGGTGCGACGCACGAAACAGATCGCCAACATCGTCAACTCGGTGAGTACCGCTGCCGCTGCGTGTCCGGACGGCCGACCGGGGTCTGCTGACCGCACCCTCCACTGAGTGTGTAGTCGGCCGACCGGGGTCTGCTGACCCACTCCACTGTGTAGTCGGCCGACCGGGGTCTGCTGACCCACTCCACTGAGTGTCCCGGCATTGTGCTTCCCAGTAGGGAACGTCACAGCGTGGACTGCCGGCCGTCCTTCCAAATACACAGTTGGTACCAGTTGGCTTCCGAGAGACAACGCCGTTTTTTACTGAGGCTTTGTGGCGCCCACTGCTTCCATTTTCCTCAAAGAAGGCCGATTATAAGATAGTCTTCCTACTAGGTCTTACGGTTTTAGGCACAGTCTTCCTCTAGCTCTGTGCCTAACAGATGTCAGATATGGGTGGGTGAAATGTAGATGTTTCGTTTGCCAATTTTGATGTTTAATTAGCCCCGCTAAAATGCACCCGTCGATTGGGTATCATTTATTGACTACCGGCGCTTTGCCGTTCAAAGCGGGCATGGTCACAGTCGGGGCACCTAATCTATGTGCATCACGGACGGGCGAGGGCAGAGCTCGGCATTTACAGGGTGTCCCAGAATTACCCGGACATTGTTAATTAGCGTATAAAATAAGGCAAACATGATTGCGCTTTTTTCTTTTTATCGTCCTATATAGTCAACTAGGGTGGCTGTGAAATAGCACATGTAATAGATACGCTTGTTACAAGATCAGCCGACAATGATTGAAAATGCCAGCCATTGCTGGTCTCAGTTGTTTTACGGCTCTCCCGAAACTGGGTGAAGGCCTGTTTTCTTTGACCTGTTGCCGGAGGATAATACGATCATATAAGATAAACTTAACATCAAAGTGTTCCCAGGTCATAAGACATTATCCCCCAAAACAAAAATTGCTGCCTACACCACTTTTGCCGCGTTTTTTACATCTGAAGTGGAGAAGCTCAATGTCTGAACATGGCGGGACCTTTTGAGTTCCAACAGATTTGGTTTCCAAAACAAACCCGTTCATGGCAATTTGGTTTACGGCATCCAGTTTTTTTACTGGTAGAATATTACCGCCGTAGTACTCTGTGCTAACGGTTGTCTTTGGGCCATCATATCAAGCCGAATGAGTGCACGGTGGCTCAAAATCTCACAATTTGATTTTCGACGGGTGCCTGGCCGTCTCTGCTGTTGGGGCGTTGTAGCCATCTGACGTTCACAAACGCCTTTTTCGGGCGGTTCAAATGACAGAATACCTTCGTTAGACCACAAAGTGTGCTTCAATATAATTTTTTGTTGTATACGTTATATTTTTGGGATGAATTGTAGTGATTTTCGCTGCTTTTCCCGTAGTTTTCGCATATTTTTCAGGCGAGGGACCCCAAATTCCAAAATTTTGCGAAGATAGTGGTGGAAAGTAGACTGATGTTCTTTAGATAATCCTGATCTATCGTTTAGCTAGTTTTTAGCTAAATCAGTGACGTTTGTTGTCCATGACAAGCAACCACCCGTTTGACAACTGGTGCATGACCCTTTTTGGCCGAGCCCAAGCTTGTCAATCAGGTTTATCTCTTGCTCTCTCTGGCTTCGTTAGCTGATATAATTGCGCTTTGCTCAATTCTAACTGCTTGCAGATGAGCTGCTGAAGCTCTCCAGCAAAAACCATGCCGAAAGTCCGTTTACAAAGTTGAAAACGGGAGTTGATTCACCATGGTTGCCTATTAGTGGCTTAAGCTGAAAACGGAAAAGGACTACTCTTACTTGACTCTGGATAATACTTGACTCGAGTCGTTACCGGTCACCAAAAGCAAACAGTCCCCAAGCTCGATAGCTAAGGGATATCTTATAAAAGTATGATGCTTGTATATCATTAGAATCGAGCGCAATCGTACTTTTAGCCAGAAAATAAATGTCCGGGTAATTCTGGGACACCCTGTACTGTCCACGAAGGGGACCAGTGTGGAGTGCCGCTCGTCACCCTCGAATCACCCCCGAACGCTTCGGTCCGGCCGATCCCCGGGCGTGCGGGCGATGGTCGGACCGCGCCGGTCTCGCACACACTGCACACCGGTCGGACGCCGGGCGCGCCGGGCTCAGAGCGGGAGTTTCCAGCCGCCCCGGGCTCCACGAGACCACCCGTCCCCGCGGCGGTGGCTTCATGTCCTGAGCCTCGCCAAGCGTGCATAGCATTTGCAAAGCTGCATGGCTAGTGTTCAAAGGATTATGCTAAGCAAGATTGCAATACGCCATTCATGGAACTCGGTATTCGGGGAATCATGCAAGCTCTCTGAAAAACGGCGCACCAGTAACATCATTTAGCAGTCATCGCAGCCACATCACTCCGACGGACCCTTGATAAGGCTCTGTTTACAACTCACGGGCGCGGATGAGGTGACTCGTCGACTTCCGGGTCTGCCGGCGCCGGCGACCGGCCGGCGAGAGTGGTGACAGAGCTCGGACCGGGCTGGAGCGGAGCGGGTAGAGCCCTGGGACCACTGTCCACAGAGCTCGGACCGGGCTGGGGCGGAGAGGGGGATTTCGGAGACCCCGTCTCTCGCAGAGCTGTGAGCTCTGACCGGGCTATGACGGAGCCCGATGACGGCGGACTGGTCACCGGGGTGCCGCTGCCACTCAGCTGGGCCCGGCTGGTCGACTGGCCGCAGTGACGGCGGACTGGTCACCGGGGTGCCGCTGCCACTCAGCTGGGCCCGACTGGTCGACTGGCCGCAGTGACGGCGGACTGGTCACCGGGGTGCCGCTGCCACTCAGCTGGGCCCGACTGGTCGACTGGCCGCAGTGACTGCGGACTCAGTGCCACTCCGCCGTCACTGGAGAGTGGAGACAGGCCGTGCTCGACTTGAGACCACAGGGCGGTCTGGCGCCGGCGGCTTTACTATGGCGTGCTCTGCCAAGCTCAACAATGTTCGCAAGCATTCCGCTGGGAACATATTGCGCAACGTCAGTTACTTATTACGAGCTACTTCATAGGCGTAGTACGCTACACCGGTGTGGTGGTAAAGTAGGCTCCCTAAAAGTTGCTTACACTTAACCTTGAACTTGAGCCATGATCGAAAGCCATGATGGTACCTATACAAATTACCAAATACGACTTCAGATCCCTCTGTGAGCAGAGATAACACCGCTATGTATGCTATCCTCGAGCTGGCTCTACTAAATCGCCTCCCGTCGCTAAGCCGGTGTCTCTCTACCGACTGTTGTCCCTCCGCTAACGCCCGACCCTCCGCAGACCACTGTCCCTCCGCTAACGCCCGTCCCTCCTCAGACCACTGCCCGACCCTCCTCAGATCACTGTCCCCCCGCTAACGCCCGACCCTCCTCAGACCACTGTGCCCCCGCTAACGCCCGTCCCTCCTCAGACCACGGTCCCCCCCCCCCCCCCGCTAACGCCCGTCCCTCCTCAGACCACTGTCCGTCCGCTAACGCCCGGCGCTCCTCAGACCACTGTCCCCCCGTTATTGTTCGTCCTCCCGTTAACGTTCGTCTCTCTCCGCCAGCTGTACACGCCGCTGAACATATTCGTGGCGCTGGTGGGTGTCGAGGTGTGGACCGAGTTCAACGAGATCACGCTCTCGGAGAACGGTGACGAGACGCTGACCAGCTTCCTGGCCTACCGGCGCGAGAAACTGGTCACGGCCATACCCAACGACAACGCCCAGCTGCTCACGTGAGTACAACGACATAATCGGCCGGCGTGCCTGATCTTTTTTTCAGGGGGGGGGGGGGGAGAGGGCTGTAGGATAGAGGGATGGCTGGTGTAGAATTTGATCGCAACGTTTAGACACTGTTTTTTTTTTGTATGATTTATTTTGCTTGCCGCTTGCATTGTAGCTCATGACGTGGGAAGGTTCACCAGAAACTGGCCACTGAGATAGTTTCTGTAGAGCACGGGGCAGAAGTGGGACACTGTTTTAGCTAACTCCAGGTGTTATTTTGTGGCTGTTGTCGTCGCCGTCGGTCCGGCGGCGTCAGTGTCTCTCGGCGCCCGTCCTCTGACCTCGCCTGGACAGCGGCAGCGCTGGGGCGCGCTATCGACGGTTAGGTCACCGCCCGACTGCCGCTGACCGTGCGGTCACCACGGTAGTGATAGTGGTGGGCGGGGAATCTCCTGCCAACGGTCAGACTGCCGCCGGGCCGTGCGGTCACCACGACAGTCAGTACTGGTAGTGTACGGGAGTGTCCCGCTCACCGTCCGACCGACACTGACCGTGCTATGGACGGCTAGACCGGCGTCAGACCGCCGCCGGCGCCGGCCGCGGCTGGAGAGGATCTGTCTGTGGTTATAGTCACCGCTCCGCTCCGCCGTTCAGCGCAGTAGCGCCGCAGCTCGGGGAGCTCACACGGCGGGCGGCGGCGGCTGGACGTGGCACGGGGAGCCGCCGCCCCTCCCGGCTCGCCCGGTCCGGCTCTGAGACGCAGCACCGAGCTCGTCAGCGCGGTGACTCACTGCGGCCGAGCTGGCGATATGTGCGCTGTTCACGGGTCGCTCCGCACGTGACCGCCGGGCTGGCAGCTGGTGTGGTACGGGCGCAGGAGGCCCGCCCGACTGACCTGCTGAATTGGCCCCCGCTGTACCCAAACACGTGCTGCACACAACTGTCGACAGCGGGGTCCGACTGCCGCCGGCGTTATGAACGACTCCGTGCCGTTAGAGCTCCGCAACCGGGCCAGGCCGGCGGGCAGCGGGGATTGCTCTGACCGGGCCGGGCGGCGGGCAGCGGGACTGCGGCCGGGCGGCGGGCAGCGGGAACTCTCCGATCGGCCGGCTGCGGACGGCACGGCGGACGGTGCCGTGCTCCGTGCACGGCGCACCGGCCGTCAGCGGACCGATAGCGACCAAAACGGCTCGGGGCCGCGCCGTCAATGGTCACGGTGACAGGAGCGGCCCTGGTGGGACGCCCACACACTGGTCCTCTGTGGCCTGAGCAGAACCGTGGAGCAGACGCCTTAGGTAGCAACAGAGGCCCGTGGTGCTGTCCAGTGAAGCATTCGGAGAAGTTTCGGGTCGGCGTTTCACTAGACTTTGGTTCGTTCGTGATGACGGTCTGATTAAGCTGCAGTCAATCTCCGGTCTGTGTATGACGGATCTGCGCTCCGTGTATGACGGATCCGTGGCCCGCTGAGCTGCAGCCCTAGTGAGCCGGATCTGCGGCCCGTGCATGGCGGATCTCCGGTCTACATATGGTGGATCTCCGCTCCGTTGAAGCTGCAGTCCGAGTGTGCCGGATCTGCGGTCTGTCGCCGCTCAGATCTGGCTGATATTGCCTCTGCTGGACAGCAACTGTAGAGTGTAGGTGTCCCTGGACCGTGCTCCTGAGTTCCGAGTTCAGAGTCCCGAGTTCCTGCTCCACGGAGCCGCCGGTGGGTCTCAGTCCCCCGCGTCATGGAGCCGCCGGCGGCAGAGGACGTGCTCGCCGGCCGGCCGTCGTTCGTTGACCTTGGCCAGCTGGTGGTTCGTGGCCCCCCCCCCCCCTCCACTCTGGGTTCCTCTGTCACCGGACTGGTCAGACGTGACCAGGCAGAAACGAGCGGCCCGAGGCACGGCTCATGACGAGTCGACTCGTCTGTTTGAGCTGCGACACCGATGGGCCGCTGTAGTTGTGTCATCTGTCTCGATGCCTCAGAGTTTTTGTTTGTTTTCCCCACCCTGCTCAAAACATCGCCGTTTAAACTACGGCGTTTTGCATCAGGTCATCCGCAGCGTAGCAGACGGCATATTTGCACACATTGGGCTTACCGGACGATGGCGTTTGTTTGAGTTGGGGCCGTTTTTTGCATCTCTGCCGCTGCACGATGCACAGCCTGCCGGGACGGTCGGAGTGCCGGCTGCGTGCCGATGATAAGCGCCCGGTCGACTCCGAGCCGCTCGCAGGAGCTGCGCACTGCGCGGGCCTTGGAGCTGGGGGGGGGGCGGCCCCCCCCTCCCCTGGACATCGCGGAGTGCAGGAGCACGCGCCGCAAAACGAGGTATAAATGTAATGACTCCTTCAGCGAATATCATCCAACTCGTGTTCTGTTGATCATTTTATCGTGTTGCTACAGTTATCCGTCGTATTTCTCACTCTGGATCGTCTGCAATATGGGCAATGGGCCGCCACACGGCAGTGCTGATGTGACTATTCATCGAGCGTCGGAGGCTCGCCGCCATATCCGATTGTTATTAATTTTTATCATTTGGAAAGGAAGATACGAGATAGTCGCCGTGACGGAACCGGCCCGGGCCTGGCTCAGAGTCCGGTTTGGCAGTCATTAGCCTTTCAGGCGACCGAGCCGGGCTCTGTCGAGACCCATACCAGACATTGCGCGCGGCTCCACAATGCACAACTGCATTGGCGCCGCCGGCCGGCTGCCGGTGGCGCTACTTCACTGTATTGCGTCACATCTTTTCATTCTGATACATGCATTGCGTGCTGCCAATTCAGCCGAAGATTACGGCGGACGGGGAAGCACGCAGCTTTGTTTGGCCGCCGAGCTTCTCTGCTCACTGTTTGAGGTCGCCGACCTGCGCCTGCTCACCGTTTGAGCTCGCCGAGCCGATATCCCCCGCTGACAGCGTGGGACTGCACTCGTCTCGGCCCCACCGCCCGGGAAGGGGAGGATGCTGTCACTCAGCGGGCCTGTCGGGGAGGACGGCTGGGTCCGGTAGTGGTGTGGTCAGCACCTCTATCCGGTTTCCGCTCCGGCGGTGGACGGTGTCCGGTCGGCCGACCGTGAGATCCTGCCACGCAGCTGTGTACGATTATACCACATTCATGCTCTATGTACGAGCGGTGCCAACACACAGTTGACCGTAATGGTGGATGGCTGGCTGTTGCACGCATTCACCACTAGTTTCACGGTGCATGCGTACAATGTGCGTGCCACTATTTGTTTGGATCGCAATCGGCCCGCAGTCCACACGGCCGAAACCACTCGCGTCGGCTCGTTTGTAGGGTAGGACGGCCCCTAAAAAACGCACCGACGGAGTGATAACGACGAGGTATATGGTCGGGATTAAGGATATGCAGGTTTGACGAATCTCGAAGTCGCATCTATTAAATAGGTGAGGGTGGGTGGGAAACTTCTCGCCCACTCTCTGCTCCACTCGCCGTCCGTCGCAGTCGACGACTGCCGTTCGCGCCTCTCGGCTCTCCTGCCAGCGGCGCGCCCGTTCCTACACTCCCCTTCGCACCACCCCTAGTCAGGGTCTGCCCCGCGTCTGTCGGCGGGGTGATTTATCTGTCTCCGACCCCCGTCTCCCTTTGCTCCGGTCACGTTCAGTGGCGCCCGGGCAGGGTCCTAACCTTCCATAGCCGCGTCGCCGCTATGAGTTGACTCGTGTCTCAGACAACTGTATTCAGTTCTCGGGCGGGCGGTCACCTGGGTCGGCCGGTATAGCCGCCGGCTGTTAGAGTGGCCGGAATAGCACGGCTTCGGCCACGACACGGGAATGGAACACCTCCCCCCCAGATAACTAGCCAACACCTCCCCCGAGACGCATTTGAGGCGCAGGTATCGAAATGCGTCATAATAACCCAAAATAAGTGCTTCGGGAGCATGACCAAATAGATTGACGCGCAAAACCCATAGCGTAACATGTCCATTGGCTGCAATTAACAAAAAATATTGCCTATTTGCATGATTTCTAACGATATAATAACTGCACACGCATTCATTCGCATGGTCGTACCAACGAATCGCACGGCACTTCAGGGAATCGAGCAATACGATTTGCCGCCCCAGCTCACAGAGAGGCGTGTCGTCTGTTGTCGTTGCCGGGTGCTGCGCCGCGGCTCATGGACGTCGGGTGCGGCGCCGGGTACGGTGGTGACCGGTGGTGTTACCGGGCAGAGATCTGGTAGCGCTCGGCTCTCACGGGCTGACGGCGACAGTGCTTGTGCCTGCTGCTCGGCGGTCTCCATGGCTGACCGCTGCTGCTGTCGCGGCTGCGCAGTTTGGGCTGATGGAGGAGACGAGACAGCAGGAACGCGCTGGGGTCGCAAGTAGCGCCGGTTCCTCCAGAGAAGCCGCCCGCTGGGTAGCTTTACGGTGTAGTCCCGTCTGGCTCCGACGCCGGTTATAGTACCAGCACCATCCCACACTCTAGTGATGGGGTTCTGAAGCAGGACTTGTTGTCCGACGCGGAGTGGCCAGTGTGACCGTGCTGTTGTGTTGTAGTGTGCCTCGACTTGGCGTTTCTGTTCTGAGGCTTTGGCGTCACATGCGTCCGCCGCCTTCTGCCATTTTTCCGCGAATGCTCGGTGGTGTGCTGGCACCTGCGACCTCAGCGGGTGTCCGAATAGAATTTGCGCCGGTGAGCGCCCGTCGCTGCGAGGGGTGTTTCGGAGCTCCAGCAGGCCTTGGACGAACTCGTCAGTGTCGAGATCGCCACGCTGAGTCGTTTTCTTGACGAGTCGTTTTACACTCCTAACGGCAGCCTCAGCGTGACCGTTGGATTGGGCATAGTGGGGAGTGGATACTTCGTGCACCACTCCCCACCTCCTCAGGAACTCGCGTGTCAGCCGTGCTGTGAACTGACCTCCACCGTCAGTTCTCAATGTTTGTGGAACGCCAGTTGCTGCGAACATTTTGCGGAGACTTCGCGTGAGGGCTCGTGCTGATGCCTGTTCTCTCACATGGAAGACAGAGGGCCAGCCAGATAGTCTATCCACATAGACTAAATAGGTC